GATTTAATGTATCCTTATTTCGCCATAAAATGGCCAGTACTTGGCTCATAGCTAAGTCAATAATGGTCCAAATATAGAATGTAATACCTCGTTGAACTCGTAATTACATTTCCAACAAAGTTGGATTCACACCTAAAAATCTTAAGTTTTGTCAATTTTTTAAAAAAATTATGATGTTACCCCTTACAAAAATAGTGAAAATCGGCTCAAAAATTATTTTCCGAAAATCAGCCAAGCAGTGATATGGTTGGAAAGATGGGTTCGTTAGCTGCTCAAATCAGTCAAAGATTTTTCTGTAGGACAATTTTCAGTCAAGTTATGAGAAAAAAACATAAAGAAAATATCGTATTTTTGCCAAAATTCCTGATCTCATTTTTGATCAATAAAATCTTCAGAATTTCACTCATAACTTCAGAAATAATGGTCCGAATATAGAAAGGGAAATCTGGTCGAACTCGTAATTAAATTTCCAAGAGAACTGCATTCACACCTAAAAATGTCAATTTTTATCCATTTTTCGCCAAAACTGACGATACCCCTTAAAAAAAAAATGATTATTGGCTCAAAATGTTTAATTTTTAGATTCTTTCTATAGAAATAGATATGCTAATGAAGCCGCAGTTCTTCCAAAAATATAAACATCCTCCAGCATATTATATAAGCTCAACCTCCGCGCTCTTGAACTACCTCTAATTGGATTAGTGCTATGAAAAAAAAAACAGAAAAATCGAAAACGAGGCAAAAAAAGCTTGAGTGAAAAGCGATGGATAAACATTGATGGGCGGCAAAAGGCAATATTTTCTAAAAGGTATACGCCATGAGTATATAAGCATGGATATCAAAACGAATTCGAATTGCACAGAAAAGTAGGGAAAGCAAGCACCAAGAAACTTATGCGACGAACACACATTATGTACATACTCGTACATAAGTTTACATAAGACTAGACATATTTGCCATCCTGTCCCCCACATTTTCCGATGCTTTCTCACCTCCTTCCCTCTGCTCCACTCGATATCTGATTTTTCCTCCACCGTTTCTGTTTTTTTGGGTGGCTGCCAGCCAGTCAGTCCAGCCATTGTTTTCCTTTGCCATATATTACATTTAATTTTATGCTAATTTTATCGATTGCCTCAAACGTTGGCCAAGAAAAACAAGCGCAAATTTGTAATTTTCCGAATCTTTGCTTGGGGCCATTGCAAATTAGTGACCAAAGTTGAGCGGGGCGTAAAGTGGGATATCCTTATCTTTAGCCATTGGATTAATAAAGTTTGTTAGCATTTATGAGAGATTTAGCTGATTAAGTTTCAATATCCTTAAAATATATATCTAAAAAAAGTTTCCCATTTTCCAGCTATCTATCCTTCTAGTTTCGAATCCCTAGTTTCAAATTACAAGATTAAATCTAATATCGAATGCCAATTATTGTAAAGGATATTCACTTACACACACACAGGAAACTAACACCCACACATAGACACAGGCATACTAACACCCATACCAGCACAAACAAAGGGGCAGCATCGCATCAGCAGCTTTTCAAAGTGTTAACCCATTCGTCGTCACCTTTTTGCCCCAAACATATTTAGATAATTTAACGCGCGCCGCTCGTAAATTTCCACAAACACACACACACACACACACACACACAGATGGACACACACAAGCGCACTCATACAGACAACGGGGTGAAAGGGGAGCTCACACAGACAGAGAGAAAGATAGAAATGCCTCCACCCACACAGACGAAAAGCAAACAGTTGCAGACACACACAACCACACACACACAGACACAACTAAACCATGTTAAGCAAATAAACAAGAGAGAGAGAGAGAGAGCGAAAGAGAAAGGAAGCGAGAAAGTGGGCAGAAAGAGAGGCAAATAGCTGGAAAATGAAAAGACAGCCAGTGATATAAATGCCGCCAAATAAAGTTTTCCTCTGATAATTATGAGCTCTTTTACTTCAGCTTCTTCTTTAACTCACACACACACTAGCTACACACACACCCACACACATCAACTTTTAATTAGCTACAAAGCGCCAACAAAAAAATCACTTTAAAAAAAATGAGAGAGATCCAAAGAGAGAGAGACAGGGATGCTGTGTAAGTGTAAGTGTAAGCTTTTTCAACACACCTCGCACACACACACACATTCTGAATCAATACTCCGTAAATCGCAGAGAACAAGAGAGTGTCAGACAAAGAGAGAGAGAGCGCTAGACGGTGTGATGGAGATAGAGCACAAAAGACCCTTTGAAAAGGCCGAAAAACTTGAGATTTTCTGCATTTTGGTTGGTTGTTTATTAACACCTTTCCACTTTTGACTTTTCACCGACTTTTCACAGCATTCGTGTGTGTGTATTTCGTTGTTAGTACGCGCTTGTTTATGTACGCCATTCAAACAAAAAAGTTGGGCGCCAAATATCGAAAAGGCAGCCGGAAATTATTCAACACTTTTTTTTTTTTTTTTTTTTAGAAAATAGTCAAGAATATTTCGAGCAGTTGCAGAAAGCTAAAGACTAATTCTATGAAATTTATGCATTTTCTATCGACTTGGGATGAAGCGATAGAACTATAACCTTAAAGGTGAAAAATTCTTACAAATTACCAAATGGTTAAATGAAAATTTCCTTAAAATTTTACATTTTTGTAGTAAAAATCTTTTTTAGCGAATTTTGTTATAGTTTTCGAGTCTTTTTCTGGTAAGAAGAATCTTAAGACCAATTAAAACGCTTCTCGCCTCTACTTTTTATCCCTCTTATCCCTTCTTACAACTCCCCATCTTCTTCTTCTTCTTCTTGGCACCCATACCAAGGTAAATCGAACTGAAATATCCAAAAAGAAAAAATAACCAGATCCTAGAGATTCGAAAAAACCAACCAAAAACGAAGAAGAAACAAAAAACGTCGCTGCTTTGCTGTAATTTTTCACACCACAAGCACACACACACACACAGACACCCGCAGAGACGACGAACGAACACACACACACACACACAGATACAAATGTTGTCACCTCATCTTGCGTCCCTTTCGCGCAGGAGAGAGAATTAGAGGTTCCATTTTGATTGTGCTCTCCCCTTAGCAAATGTATGTGCACGCCCGCCTGTCTGTGTGTGTGTGTGTGTGTTTGTGGTTAAACTTGTCACACAAGCAAAAGAGGAAGAAGCAAGTCGCTTGCCGTCTTCTTCGTGCGCACGTTAAAGCCGCCATATTGCCAGCTCGCTCTTTGTCTCCTCTTTAGGTGTGTACGTGCAATGGTGTTGTGTATGCGTGTGTGTGTGTGTGTGTGTGTGCAGGAGTACGTGTGACAAAATACATTTGGCTTCTTGGTGTTGGTGACTTGAGCCGGTTGCCTTTTCATTTGCACGCCTCTTGCCATCTGCCATCTCGCTTGCTCTTGTGCTATTTGCGCTTAAGTTTTGGGCGACAAGTTTGTCACACGACGACGTCGACGTCGACTTTGACGCCTCAGCCAACGTTTTCAGTCGCTGTCGCTATGGCCTCTGCCACGGTCGACGTCGTTGTTGCTCTTCTGCTTTTTCGCACTTGCGAATTTCTCGCTCAACCGTTATCCCCTCCTTTTCCCTGAAATCCCGAAATCTTTTCATTTACATTTTGAGGAACGCATAAAAGCTGCCAAAGCGGCTAACAAGCGTTTAGTTTTTGGCGGGTTAAAAGTGGGCAAAAACGTTGGTTTTAAGGTGGGTTAAACCGGGCAGGGCAGTGTGTGGGCTAGGAGTGGGTTTTAGGGCTTGTAAGTTAAGGTGGCCATTGGTGGGCTAAAGAGTGATTGGTAGGAAAATTCCTAAGAAAATGTCACAGAAATGAAAAGAATTGCTAAAGTTCGTATATGCGACGGGACTATCCTTCAGAATAACTTTTAAGATTGGTTTTATTACTTTAAAGTTTTTCTTGTTGGTCAATCACTTCGTTTTTTATTAGGTTTATAAACCTTTTCTTAATTAAGGATCCTAAAATGAACTTTATTTCATGTTATATAATCATTTATCTAGCAGATTAGCCTTAAAGAAGTCTTTTTGGGATGCATTTTTATCGCCTACATTAATATTATTATATAAACACGATCAGAATCATCTCTTTCTTTGTGAATAATCTTTTTCGTGCAGTGCCTTTGATTGTCTGGAGGTCATTGTAGGTCAACTTTTGTGCCTTAAAGTGCTTCTCGCAGCCGCTTTTATTTTATCTCTGCCTGGGAAATGCCACCCTCTTTTCGGCCCGCCAGTCAGTCAGTCAGCCAGTCAGCCAGCCAGCCAGCCAGCCAGCCAGCCTCATTTATCTCACCATACCGCGCCCCTACTCCAGGCCCCTTCCCTACTTTCAGGCATTTATCTCACCACCCCCTCTGCCTTATAGCCTGCCTGCCTGCCTGCCGCACCCCCTATCTACCGCCCCTCGACAAACATTTGACCATTGAAGCGCATTTTTCGCTTGCGCGTCATTTGTCAACTTGGCCGCTTCTCCTCTTCGTTTTTTTTTTTTATCATTATTTGCTTCTTTGCAATTCTGCCAGCCCCTCAGGGTTACGCCCCTTAAAATTGCCACGCAAAAAGATTGTGATTTACTGTGCTTTTTTTTTATTTGCCCTTAGCTTCTGTTTTACTGCCGATTCTTATTTGTGATTAAATTTTGTTGAGTTTTTGTTTAATTTTATGGTTTTTTTAAATTATTTTTTCAAGGAATATTTTGGTATTATTTTTGAAGCTATAACGAAGTGCTTTTATATTTTTTATACTTTTTGTTTATGAATATTATTTATTATATTTATTTTTATTTTAATATTTTTTTATATTTTTTAACTTTAATATAATTTAAGGGTACTTTTTTGGTACAAATCTTTTTATTTACTTTCATTTGTTGGCAATTTTAATATTTCTTTCTGTTATTTAACCTTTTTTTTATGTTTTTTTCTTATTATCTTATTTTACTTCTTCTCCTTTTTATTCCTTCTTATTTATTATCTTTTTTCCTTTTATTATTTCTTGTTTATTTTTATTTATTTAACTACTTATTTGATATCTTTTTACCGCCTGAGTCTTCATCCTCTTTTTCCACACCCCCTCTGTGACCAGCTCCTGCTTCTTCTTCTACCTCCTCCACCACCTTCTTCTTCTTCTGCTTCTTCTTGTTGTTGTAGTGGTGTCAGCTGCCTTGTTACTTCTAACACGCTGCTTTTGACGCGACGTCGCTGCCGCCGTTGGTTGGTGCCATTTCCCATTACACACAGATACATACCAACACGTACGAGACACACACACACACACACACATACAGTTACTCTCACACTCTGCACTACACTCACACACACACACACCTATACAGGCGTCAACTCAACACTTTTGGTTCGAGTTTTTGGTTTTCTTATTGGAACCCCGCAGCTCACTCATTCTCTCCCGCATTCGTCCTCTCTCTCTCTTTCTCTCTCTCTCCCCATGTTGCGCCCCTTCTCGCTCACACTTACTAGCACACGCCCTCTGTTAAAGAAACTCAACACTCTTGCTTTCTCGCTTCCACCAAATGCAACCCCATATACGGCCATCTCTTTTGCACGCCACTCATGGGTCAGCAAAGTGGAAGCGAGAGAGCGCGAGCGGCTAGCAGAGCGGCAACAGCGCTGCCGACGTCCGTTTCGGCGTGTGTGTATTTCCAGTTTCCAGTTTGAATGCGACCGGCGTGTAGTTCGTGTCGTCATCGCCGCTCTGTCGCTTTTCTCGCCTGTCGTTTGTCGTTTGTCGCTTTTGTCGTTTGCCGTTTGCCGTTTTGCCGTTTGTCGCCCCCCGTCGTCGTTTCTCGTCGTTTGTTGTTTCTCCCACCGTTCGTTGTTCGTTGATCGTCGTGTCGCCAGCTCCCAATTCATCCTATACTCTTCATTCATCATCATCCTACAATATATATAACGGCAAATCCATTTTGTGCACTTTTTTTTTGCGTTCTCCCTTTTTGGTAACAAACAACATCAACAAACATAGAAAAAACAACAAACAGTTAACTAACAAAACTCGAAAAATTGCCAAGTGAAGTTTGGAAAAAGCAAAAAACAAACAAAAAACTAAACAAAAACAAAAACAAGGTTCAGACGTTGGCCGACGTTTTGCCGTCGCCAAAACAAAAAAAAAAACACAAAAACAAGGCAAGCAAAAGTTTAAAAACAAAACAAAGAAGCAGCAGACTAAAAGAAAGAAGAAAAGGAGGATAAGAAAGAAAAGCAAATGAAGAAACTTAAAAACTTGAAAATTAGTTTAAAATTTGAATGTTTTAGGAAGTTTTTTAAGATGCCAAAATGAAAAATCAAATTTGAAAAATTGAAAAGCCCGGAAAAGCAGATTTTTAAGAGTTTCTACAATATTCGCATGGCAAAGGCTTGGTTTAGGTTAACTATTAAGCTATATTTATTTAAAATTTATAAAAAATAGCTAATCTTAGGTTTCTCAAAGATAAATAAACAAACTTTTAGTTAGAATATTGCAGTTTAGAATTGGTTTTGGAACATTAAATGAGATTGTAGGTTTGATAGAAGTAGCAAGCATTGAGAACTGATTTGCCGTAAATCATATCCAGTCATAAAAGACAATATTTTGTATAAAAATCTATAAAATTAGTAAGAAATCAAGAAATTTAAAGTTTAAAAAACAAAACTATAGATTTCTGTAAAAAGCAAACTTGGTAAAATAGAAAGTAAAAGGGAATGGAATAGAATAGAAAGAAAGAAGGGAAAGAATAGTAAATCTTAATCAGTTTTAGGATAAGAATCAAACAGCAAACGTCTAAAAGACTGCCTGAAACAGAAACATCTGCTAAAGGCCAACTAAGTTCATAATCAGGCAGCGTAGGCCAAGGACTTTCCTACAGATTTCAGATATTTTAGATTTAAATTCAAAGAACAACAAATAGCTCATACAAAAGCCTTTCAAAATGTTGCCTTTGTCAAAGGACAGACAAATTTAGCAAAGCAAACATGGCAGGCAAACTTAAAAATTAGCTTAAACCCAGAAATTCCTTAAAAAGGCAGCAAAAGCTTATCAAAAAAAGTCAACAAAAATCAGAAACTTTAAAACCACAACCTACAACCAACAACAACTAGCCCCCTTATAAAATCTCAAGCGACAAAAAACCCAAAAACTAAAAATCCCATTTCCTATTTTTTATAGCAATAAAACACAAGAATTTTTTTGAAACGACAACAAGAAATCAAATTGAAAGTGTGCCAGTGTGAGTGTCCCCAAACAAAGAAAAAGAAAGAAAGAAAAATAATTAAAAAAGAAAAAAAAAAACAAGTACCTGTAGAACAAAAACAAAAACAACAAAGAAAAATTCAAAAACAAAACAAAAAAAATACTTAAAAGAAAAAACCTAAGAGAGAGATCCCGTAATAGAGATCGCCGTGGGAAATCCTTTCTGCATGACGCACTTGGTTGTTTGAAACGGTTATGTGATGAGATACGACGTCCAGGAGCTGCTACTTCATCAGTCTGCTGAGGATCCATTCGCCAGGTTCGCCAATGGGATGGCATATCATCCATTTCTGCAGCTAACGCAACGACCCACTGACTTCAGCGTCTCCTCGCTGTTGACGGCGGGTAGCAACAACAGCAACAGCAACAGCAACAACAACAACAGCGGTAACAACAATTCTAACAACACCAGCAACAACTCCAACTCCAACAACAACAACAACAACTCCAATTCCAATAACACCAACAATCTAGTGGCCGTCTCACCAACGGGTGGTGGTGCGCAGTTATCGCCGCAGAGCAACCACAGCAGCAGCAACACCACCACCACCAGCAACACCAACAACTCCAGTTCGAACAACAACAACAACAATAATAATAATAACAACAACAACAACAACACCAGTAATAACAATAATAACAACAATCATACAAACAATAATAATAATACAAAGCAAGGACACCACTTGAGCACCACCGAAGAAACGCCATCGCCTGCTGGCACACCACCGCCCACAATTGTTGGTTTACCGCCAATACCACCGCCCAACAGTAACTCATCAGCATCAGCTGTTGCCCATCCGTCGCACCACCCAACCGCCGCACATCATTCACCAAGTACGGGTGCCGCTGCACCACCAGCTGGCGCAACGGGTTTGCCGCCACCCACACCGCCACACCACCTGCAACAACAACAGCAGCAACAACAGCATCCAGCACCACCACCACCTCCATATTTTCCTGCTGCGGCACTGGCCGCTCTAGCTGGTAGTCCGGCCGGACCACATCCGGGTCTATATCCCGGCGGTGGTTTACGCTTCCCGCCGCACCACCCCGGCGCCCATCCGCACGCCCATCATCTGGGCAGCGCCTATACGACCGCTGAGGACGTTGTCCTTGCCTCGGCCGTTGCCCATCAACTGCATCCGGCAATGCGACCACTGCGGGCTCTACAGCCAGAGGACGATGGCGTCGTTGATGATCCTAAGGTCACGCTGGAGGGCAAGGATCTGTGGGAGAAGTTTCATAAACTTGGCACGGAAATGGTCATCACCAAGAGCGGCAGGTGAGTTTATCGAGATTTCGATGGGGGTTATAGGGGGTTTATCTATCGAATTTATCGGTTATTAATTATCGAAATACTAGGATCCCTTCAGATAAAGATTCCCAAATGTTATTGCAGAAAAATACCAAATCAAATGGCAAAAAAGAGTAGAAAAAGAGAGTAGAATAGAGTTATTTTAAGGAGGGTTACCAATGGTCTAAGGAGTCTATTGGAATATCACATGGAATGATGATCACATCACCCCATATAGCTACCTTCAAAAGTCTTATATGGCATCTCGAAAAAGATTTCTTTTTAAGTAGGTTTTTCTCCCTAAAGTTTATCAAAAAATCATGAAAGTTTTAGAGATACCTAAATGCCTCAAAAGGTATACCAAAACCTAGATGGATTACAAAACTCATTCTGAAATAAAATATTAAAACATTTTGCGATGCTTTTTCAAAAGCTTTTAAAGATTTTTGAATAAACTTTTCAAAACTGTAAATAATTTCTGAATATTTCAATAAATAAATGTGGAAAAAACGGCAGTAAACAGAATGAAACTCCTAAAAGTTTGTTTGAAAAGTCTTAAAAGTGGAAATACAAAACTTTTAAACGAGAAAAAATATTCAAAAATATAATAATTTTTTTTTTAAATATTAAACTGTCATATTGACAAATAAAGAAATATATGTCCCTTTGGCAAACCTTTTGGCAATCGAGGGCACAGATCTGGGGCCGAAGGTCAGGTCAGCAGCCCGAGCAGCAGCCTTGGCCACTTGAGCACGTGTGGCGATGTCTCAAGCTCCCGTTAGCCGTTCAAAAAACCGCTCCCAAGTTCCACGCCCAGTTGAGCTGAAAGTAGGTGAACAGACGCCCCTGTTCTTCCCTGTTTTTGTTTTTTTTTTTTTTTTTTTGCTTTCCATCTTTTCCAACAGCAACCTCATGTCATCAGCCTCAGTCTCAGCCTCAGCCTTAGCCTTAGTGTCTCAGTCTCGCAGAGTCTAAACTCTCCCTTGAAAAGCTGATGACGATGATGATGATGATGATAGGATGATGATTACATGACGTTGACATTCAAGCTGCGTTGGCGCGTGAAAATGCGTTTTGAGCTTCACACCTACTTGAGAAAGTATTCACTGAGACGCACTCACACTTACTCACTCGGCCCGACCGAGTGAGTGCCAAGTGAGTGTCAAGTGAGTGGCAAGATGTGGCAGCTGTGAATGTACTCAAAAATGCCCCCAGATAGTGTGCACCATCCTACCTACCTCCCAATCATAATTGGCATAAAATTAATGATGTCAAAAGGGGAATTTTCCGAGAAATTTTCAAGCTCAAGAAGAAACTCTTAGGAAAAAAAAGGTTTACTATCCAAAATTATTGAGATTTCATTAGCTTAAAAACCTTTTCCTTTAACTGATAGTCTGAAAACCTCTCAACGAGATGGAAAAAAAACTACAAAAGGCTAACAAAATCTCTTAACCATATTTAAATTTATGTAAGAAACCATTAACCATAAATAAAAACTTGCGTTAATGTTAATCATTGTAACCATTTTTACGGTAATTCATAACGTGGCAAGCCAAATTCAATTAGCTTCTGTTGTTGCTTTTTTAAGCTACAAATTGCCTGACGCCTCGGCTAAGCCTCTTTGGCCAACGCCTCCTCTGCCGACTTTTCCTACACAAACACATATATATATATATATATACTCGTATATATATTGTTTCAATGCCAGTCTGGCGTCGTGGGCGTGGCAAACAACACCAATAGAAAGTGGAAATAAGCGTAAAAATAAAATATTTGCAAATAGTTTTGTGTTGCTGAAAGTTGCGAATACGTCTGGCCAGGTGTCTAGGGGCCCTCTGGTTACGCCCCCAAAAAAAAAAACCGACAACCACCGCCCAACGCCCACGCCTCTGCTTGCCATCTTTAGGCTAGCAAGTAGTAGTTGCATTTTGTTGTTGTTCTTGTTGGTAGTTCGCACTTGGGAAAAATACACAAAAAAAAATATACGAAAAAGTTGATGGAAATTATATATATTTTGCGAGCTCAAGTTGAAGGGGTGGTGGCTTGAGGGGGCATATCCTTAAGCTCATTAGCAGTTTGGCGATTTGAAGTGTGAAACTAAACCAAGTGGCCAAGCCATGAGCATAAAAACAAGCCACTACAAATCCTCCCACAACCCCCCTGCCACTAGTATGTAGTAGCAAAAAAAAAAAAGAAAGAAAGGAAAACCCAACCAACTCCTCGTTTCTTCACTTAGCAAGTTGTACAAAATAAATATGTGCACTAAGGAAAATTCTAGATGATAGATAATACCTTTTCCAGATTTTTGTTGGATATTAAATTTAGATTTTTAGGTTTTTTAAAGTTTAACTTTAAGGCTTTTTGAAATCAAGCTTTATAAAGTTGTGCCTAAAAATCAAGAAACTGAAAATATTGACTTTAGAAATCATTCTGGGAACCTCTTTAGAGAAGGTTTCCAAGATTTTCAGAGCAGCCTACCTTAAGATCTTCCCCAGAAACTAATAACTTAGACACCCTTAGCAAGTCTCCTAATTAATAATCTTAAAAATAATCACAAAATTACCAGTTTAAATGTTAAAAAGAAAAAACAAAGCCAATGCAGTTTTTCTCCGTGCCATGGTGAGTTCATGACCCTGCCAAAGGGGGGGAAAGAAGGCATTTTTTTTTTTTTTGCCCCAAAGTGTGGCATGCAATTGTTGTAAAAGGGGGCGTGACGGAGGAGGGCGGCAGCGGCCCTAGATGAGGAATGGGAGCAAGAAGAAGAGAGAGAGAGAGGAGAGGAGAGAAGGTGAGCAGGGGAAGCAGGGGATCCCCGAGTGAGTGGCTTGTAAAAGTTTTAAGTACTTGTACCTAGCACACACATATGGAGATTATGGTTGTGTGTAAGTTGCAACTTTTTTGCACGCCACAAACACACACATCGTTGTTGCTGCTGCTGTTGCTGCTGCTACTGCTGTTGCATGCTTGCGAGACGTGCGAAAAAAAAAACCAACAACCAAATGGCAAAAAACAAAAAAAAAAACAGCAAACAGAATTATTGTTGCCGCTTCTGTTGCCGTTGCCCCATCATCATCAATGTCAAAATTATTGTTTTTCCTGCCGCACAACCTCTGCTCCCCCCCTCCCCCTCTGTTAAACCGCTATGCCACCCCCTTTTTCTTTCCACCTCTTCATATGAGTGCCACTTGAATGTTTTGCGAGTGGATTTTGCATTCACTTGGCTCGATTCAATCGCCTTTTTTACACTCGCCTTCTGTTATTTTAGCGAATTTTTCGGTTTCGATTCATCGAGGAAGGCAATGTGATTTTGGAGGCGGCCTGCCTTAGTTTGTTGTTGTTTTTTGTTGTTTTTTTTTTTTGGGGAAAGTTTGACAGGCTCTTGGTATATGACTTAATTCATGTGTTTTCCCTTCGCCAAAAAACGATATCTTCTCGCTGGGAGTCTAAAATTAAATTGCCTTTCTGGCTTTACTTTGATTTCAATATTGCTGTGTGTTTTTTTTTTTTGGCTCACCCTAATTCTCAATTTGTCGCTGGCAATTAAGACGCCAAAGCAAATAGCGTGAAATCTTTCTGCGTTGCCTGCTGACTGCTCTGCCTGCTGACTGCTCTGCCTGCTGACTTATCAATTAATTGAAATTGCCTTCTAAGCGCAAATGAATAAAGTCCGCAAAGTACTTGGCGACACTTACGGTGCGAGAAGTCAAGGAAATGCGATTTGAAAAAGCAAAGTCAAAAAAACTAAAACACACACAAAACCTATAAAAAACATGTCACTAATTATCAAATGTTGACCCCAAAAAGTCAAAAATATAGAAAGATGGTGCCCAGATTTCGCTTTGATTTCGCCAGTTTCTAGCTAATTGAGAGAGGCACTAAGAGGCCTAAGAAGGAGCCTAACAGACTTAGTTAATACAGAAAATATATTTTTTAACAGTGTAGTTTTTGGTTTGTAACACCCATCCCCCTTCCTGTATCCCTAATTGTTGTCAGAGAAGACTTTGTGACACAGGCATGCGATAATGTGACAGAGAAAAATATTTAATGACACGCCAAAGGACACCTTTCTTTCATTTTCCTTTTTCCTATATAATATATACTTTCATTCTTTGTACGGATCAGGGGTCAACCCCTGGGCAACCGCCTGTCAAAGTTCACTTGTTTAATTTTCATAAATAAAAATTTTCCATTTCCTTCATACTTTTTTTTTTTTGGTTCTTTTTGGGCTTTTCGTTTTGGGTAAAAACTCAGCTGACGGCGACAAAACGCAATCAAAGTGCACTGGCCTGCCCCGCCCCCTAGCGAGCGTCCACCTCCTCAAAGAGCCGTAGGCTCAATTAAATGGGCGTGTCCGCCTTCTAGTTTTTTCCTCCTTTTTTTTTTGTTTCTTTTCATATTTCCACAAGTTTTACTCCACACACACAGGGCCAGCAGGTGATTAGTAGAGTGGGTGAAAAAGGGGTCAATTGGGGGTTGAGGGTGAATACAACCCTTGAAGTATCACAGAACACACATACACACACATACACCCCCCAACAGGCAGCTCCACCACCATCTTGAAAACCGTTTTTCATAATTGTGTTAAAATTGTCGTCCTGGCCAAAAAGGGGGCTGGAAAAATTATCGATGTGCTAAGTTGACAAATACGCAAAGGTTTTGGGGAAAAGCAGCCAAAGCCGAAGCCAGCCCAGCTCCCCCCCTTTCTAAATTACACTTAATTTGGCTTAGCAACTTGGAATTTCTTTGGTTCAGCTCTCGGTCCTTCTGCGTTGTAATTTTCCATCGTTCAATTTTCTTTCTGTTTTCTGTTTTTTCCCCCTTAACCCTTTCTCTTCGAGCTCTTCAAGAAGTCCCTTCTTGACAATTTTGCAATTCGATGAAAAATGCATAATAATTGGCATAGCGTTGGATATATAGTCTCTATATCTGACCATAGGAGTAACATATATATGTTAGATATAACCCTTTAGGTAATGCCTTGGTGGCAG